GCTACGTCACACACACACACACACACACACACACACACACACACACACACATATATGTGTATGTGAGTGTATATGTATGTCTATAAGAAAAAATATATGTATATGTATGTACATGTATGTGTGTGTACGTACTTGAGCGTGGTGCGTGCGTGTTTGGGTGTGTGCACAGAGAGTCTTGAGTTCAATGAGAAGAGAGTCTTCCTTGCTATGCTGGGGTATACACGGTTCTATGTAATACATTATATTTACTATTACTTCATTGTTCGTTTTCATTGTATTTATTATGAAATATTTAATGTAATTTCATTTTCATTTGTATAGTGTAATTAATTGGCTACCACCTGGCAAAGACGCCAATTGTGGCCAAAATAAATATATTATTATTATTATTATTATTATTATTATTATTATTATTATTATTATTATTATTACTAGAAATGACCGAGTTTGCTACCAGGTGTCAACCTCCTCCCGCAGTGTATCGCGAAGCCGAAACATACGTGAAGCTTCAAAAAATTTACTTATTTGGACACCCACCCTCATCTCCCCAGAGTGAACGTACACATTGCTTGTTCATTAAACAGGTTCCGCGCGGCATCACTGCTGACGAGGAGCGCGAGGACCTTGAAGGGCGGAACAAATTCAAAATATCCCACAACACTAACTGGGCTGGATTCACAGCTCACATAAGCACCGTGTTTAAGCGAAAATCGCTAAAATTCATTGGACGAAATCGATAACGCGGTGACTCACATCACTTCTACGATTCGAACGCCCTACAAATCAAACACCACAATTAATCGCGAACCGGAATCACGTCCTGAGCTTACAGATGAGTACAGAAGGACGCTGCGGGATATTGTAAGCTACTCAGCCGCTTCGGCGATCCCGCGGACGGTGTGCGGGCGCGAGCAGAGAATTCTGTAAATCTCTACAAGACAAGAGACCCGCAAAATGGCCACGCACATCGAAGATTGCAATCTTCGTGAAAGAAACCTTTGGGGATTATCTAAGGCGCTGGGCCACAAGGCGGGAGTAAACCGCCCGCCCCGCACCACCCCGACACCACAGATGCTCGGTCACACCGCTATGCAACCGCACACCGCAATACTTGTGGGAGGACGCCGCTAAAAGCGAACTCTTCGCGGAGACGCTTGAACGGCAGCTCCGCCCATTCGAGTCCGGCGACTTCGGGGACCAGAGCACTGTTGCACGCTTACGCGACTATCTGACAGCCACGCACCTCTGCACGCCGAGCACCTCTGCGCGACGTGCGACGGGACGGGCGCTGCGACAACTCAATACGCGCAAGGCATGGGGGCTGGACTGTATAACAGCCGCCCAGCTCCGCGCGCTCGGCGCCGACGTGGTGGAGTTCCTGCGGGAACTCCTAAATGCGTGCCTAGCGCTAGGATACGTCCCCAGAGCGTGGAAAATCGCGACAGTATCCATGATACCAAAGCCTAACAAGGACCAACTTCTGCGAGCGGTTTAAATCAATTAGTCTCCTCTCCTTCCTTCCGAAACTTTCCGAGCGCCTGAACCTGCGAGCGCTTGAACGGGAAATACGCGCTTAAGCGTTAGGTATGAGCAATTCGGATTTCGAACATGCGGTCGGCATTCGATTCTGTATGGCACGAGGGGGCGCTCGCGTGTCTTGCGGACATTGGAATCGGCGACTGCTACCTTACACTAATCGCTAGCTTCTTGACAGATAGACCATGCAAGGTTCGAGTCAATGGCGTACATTCTCTACTTGCACTAGAAGGTCTTCTACATCACATTCTATTTTCCTGCATTATTGTGGACAGTTTCATAAAGTTATCATTTTGCAATTTCCTCACTTCACCGATCACTTGAAAATTAAAAAAAAACAAACACGAATATGCAATTATAACCTTCGCTGCATAAATGCAATAATTTCGAATATGCAATTATAACCTGCAATGTATATATGCAATTATAATCTTGCAAAGTATATATGCAATTATATCGATAGGTAGGAACAGTAGCCATTTTTTACTTGTCCAAATATGTCTATAAGTCACCTCTTATAATCAGGGGGATTTTGCTGGCCTAAAACGTCGCCAAAAATGATCAAAATTCGGTTAAAATGATTTTAAAATGCCATAAAACCAGACAAAAATTACGTAAAATTGTGATCAAAATCAGTTCGGATGAACAACTCAAACTTTGGATACGTTACAGATGTAATCGAGGTTTTTTCACGTGAAAGCTTCCAAGCTTTTGATTTGGACTGTTCTTTACCAGGAAAACTATCTTTATCTCGAAATCAGCCGAACCGACAATGGCGCTGATAGGCTCATAAGAACCTTAGATTACAAGGCTGCCGTTACAATTTAAAAGTGAAAAGGGAATAGGCTTATTCAAGAATTATGTGGAGAATATTTGCTGCATCTCTTAAATATTATTTGAAGCAAGTACCATTAAAATCAATTCAACCAGCTAAAAATGCATTAAAAATATGGAAAAAGGTAAAAAAGACTTATTTGTCGAAATCGACCAGAAAAGGAAACAAAGTAACGTATAAAAATGTGTCATTACCTTTTGTCATAACATAAAATATAATACTGAACTGCATTGTTCGAAGAAAAAGAGAAAAATGATATTTCTTTAAAATCCACCCTCTACATATAATATTTTCAGCACATCACACAGGACAGGATGTTTTTTCGAGAAGTTATTAATTTTCAAACATTTTGAAAAAATGTTCGCATCGCTTAAGTTAATCGTTTGTAACATATGTTCAAATTCTGACAAATATTAATACTTTGCAGCATTAAAACAAAAATATTATTTTTCATGTCTATGTTAAATTATTTGAGTTCTTCAGATAGCATTTTTTATGTTTTAAATTTCTTCCTTAAGCCGACCCCCTATAAATTTGAATAAAATAGCTTTATGTTTAGAGTGTTGTACGTAACATTGACAAGTTTCAAAACGGGACGCTAGTAGATTTCCAAGAAATTAAATACAATGAAAATTTATATTTGCGGTTTTGTTAGAACGTCGGTAGGAATTGTTAGAACGTCGCCACCAAGCAACCAGCTGTAAATAATTATAACTCATATTTATAGTCACTGAGTTATAAATAACCTTTCACATATTACATACTTATGACCTACCCTGACGATTATATTAAAATTAAAAGGTATCGAACAGATTAAATTTAGTATTAAACAATTACACGAATAATATGTGATTCAGATAATTAAATTGATTATTTTGTTTCAATTTTTAGACAAATTTCATTTCAAAATGCATCAAAAGAAATAAATCTATTTTGTAACCTATGTTTATTGTACGTAGTTTTATTTCCATATAATTGTTTCATAAACTATGTATCTTTCTATGAGATGTTCACTATTCCTAAATAACGTAAAAAGATAATGTTCTTCACTTTAATAATTCACTCAAGTGATTTCCTGAGTAAATTAACTGGTTTCTGGCATAGGTAAAGGCTACTTTCATTGACAATATTTTCCAATATTCTTTAGTACAAACAAGATTTCAGGTGGAATTATCCTGTACTAACCAGGTACAATCGATTGAGTATGATTTCGCATTTTTTTACGGTTGCTGGGACGAGAATGGTAGAGTTCCGGTGTACCTCCCGCCGCCTCATTAAAATGGCTTTATTTTCATTGTATTGTACAATCTCAAATTCAGGTGGAATTATCCGGTACAAACGATTTACGAAGTTTCCAATTTTTTTACGATGGTGGCGGTGCCAGTGTGAAGTTTGCACCACCACAATAGAAGTGCTATATTTTGTAAGTGGTTTTGGTACAAACGGGTACAAGCCAGGTACAAAATAATGGTAATGGTTTCAGTGGTTTTCGCTGTGGTGGCGGCGCTAACTTCACGGACATCTACACCAGCGCTTCGGCGAAAAGGCGATTGATACTCCGCTAATATCAAATGAGTGGAAACGCCTTAAAGCTGCGTGACATCCTCAATACAATAAAATGTACAAAATTGGAAAGCTAAAGGTAGGATAAAATTGAACTACGAAAGGAAGCCCTGAAAGAGTTACATGTACTTCGCGGCTAAAGATAAGATGTTATTTTCTCTACATGTCAGCACACTTGGGGAAAATCCATATAAAAGTGTAACCAGTGAAAGTATAGAATTTCATAAACATATTTTTAGTAGATTAAAAATTAAAATTTCTATGTCACTTTTCTTGTGTGCCGGCCCTTTAATTTCTATTATATTAAGTGGCCCTGTTTTATGTTTTAAAAGAAGCCTGGGAAGTAAGTGATTTGTATTTTGAAGTAGCTGTCTGTCCTCCAGGCGACCGCCTGCACACGTCGCAAGCGAACCTGGGCGCGGGCGGGTCGAGCGTGGGCGAAGCGCGGGCGGCAGTGCGGCACAGCGCGCCCGGTGCCGCGGGGCTGCCGGAGGAGACGCTGACTGCGATCGCGGGGGCGGGGGCCAGCGCCGCCACGCGCCCCGCGGCCAGCCTGACGAGCAGCGCAGCGTCTTCGCTCGCGCGCGCCCCGCGCCCACCCCAGTGGCCACGCAGCGCCTGCAGCAGCGACGCCAGCGGCGAGGACAGCGACGAGCCCCGCGTGCCGCCGCCCGCCTACAGATAGCGGACCGGCCATCGTCGCAAAGGTACAGGGAAGATGCTGTAATTCAGAGCTTGCCGATTGATGATGCAAAATTCATGGGTTAGGCTAGAGGCACAGAATCATAAGACATAGGAATGCAACATTAGGTTGTATGTATACAAGTGTCCCACAAACTACGTGCCACTCCCAAAGCTTCTAAACGGTTGATATTGAAATAGATAGATCATTAAAAGAGGAATACAATGGTGTTTCTTGTGTTAATATTTTGATAGTAATTACTGTAAAATTAGACTTTCTGTCGTGTGTTTTTAAATTACAAGGACAGTACATCCTGAAGCAGCCCTTGCAACAGCCACCTTCGTTGAAGGGAGAGGGGAGAGGCCGCGAAGCGCGAAGGCGACTGTTGCAAGGGATGCTACAGGATATATTGCAGGTTTAATTTAGAAAGTATCATGAGAAAGTATAGATTTATACTCAAAATGTCACCAATACATTAACATATGTTGCATTCCTCATTTTATGATCTACCTATTGTAAGTGAGAAAATTATATGATTCCATTGAAAAACTCAAAGATGATTAAATTTCTCGCAAAGTAAGAATATTTCAAACAACATCTCTATAGCATATTACTTGCCTCATGATTCTGCCTTGAGTGAAAATTGCATTTCGATATCATTAATCGATTACAAGTTATGACAATTGTCCATAGTACTTCCTTTTTTATTTAGCAGTTTAGGGACGTATAAATCCGAATTTTACCAACTAGCGCAGTTCCCTATCCTAGGCAATGGGTTTCTTTATTTTCCTTTGTCTTTGAGTTACCCGAGGGGCCATGTCGGGTTCATTCTGAGAAATAAAATATACATTTCAATCCGATGTGCCTCTTCGCAGTGTAGAAAAATCTTTTGAATTACTATTTCTTTTGCTACCCCAACAATCACAATGCTTATAAAAAATGCAATAATTTAGCAAGTATGATAGTGTAGGAGTATATTAAGATTTCAATTCGTGTAATTTATATAAATGCTTACTTGTTTTGTTACTAGCTTATTTTCACAATTCGTAAAATTTATACTATTCGTGGGAATTGAGGATCTCTCCTACATAGGATTTCGATTATTAACAAATTAATAGATACGACAGGAAATATTTAGTGTACCAATAACATGTCATGTCATTTATGGGTGAAACACTAGGTCTCAAAAATTGATTTTCTGTATAAAATTTTCAATTTTATTATATTTTCCTTCTGTTGAAGCAGCCATTATACTTGCACGACTTGCATATTACTCCCGAATCACGTTTAAAGTTTCGTAGAAATATAGCCACTGATTACACACTCTGTCTCACTAAACATCTAGGTCCGTCTCTTTAGAGTCTCGGCCCTAACGGACTTCAACAGCCTCTAAGAAACTTTTCATTTTCATCTGTCTCCTGAAAACATCGTAATTATTGTTTTTGTCTGCGCGCCTGCTGATTTCCACCAGCCCCAGGCTCAGCCTCTCTTTTCCCACAATATTTTAGTGTTCGCAAACGTGGCTCTAATATCCATCTTCATTCCACGCGCCCCTTCATCTGTTTTTCATGTCGAAAGTTTCGTTAATCAATTGTTTGATCATTTGTATACGTGGGCGTATTGCTTTTGTCTATCGTCTCAGATATTTCTTTTTCTTTATTTATTAGCTACCCGTTCGGCTGACGCTTTGCGGGTCAAATTCTCAGGCGAATGTGGTGCGCAAGCCGAACCCCTCAGTTGTAAATTGTAAGGCGTGCGTCACGATGCGAGGTATTAAATCAGTGGAGGTGGTGAAAGATGAGTTTGGAAGTCTGTATTTCTATGGAGGGTGAACGAGGATTTCGCGAAGCGACATTGCTTGCGAACGGGAAGGTTTGCATTTTTTCCAGGTGGAAGATAGGGGTGACGGAAGAAGTGAGTAGAATTTTTCAGATGTATTGCATATATATGCAATAAATATAATACGTATATTGAAGGAACTTAGAGTTCCTGGTGGATTTGGAAGTTGGGTGTAAACTGCTATATTTCGCCAAGCCGGGCAGGTATTACTCGTAGTCATGGTAGGTCTCATTATGGACGTATATATTAATAGAGGTAAATTCGTTGGAAGTGATATTTCTAAAATAATTTTTTCCCTTTTAAATACTGTTTCATACTTCTTCATGCTTAATACACCGGCATTAAGCAATTCAATCGTTCATATTTACCTATTATTGGTTACGAGATAGATTCTTCAATATGATTACAATTTCATTCGGTTTAGTCACTATTAGTAATGAATGAGCCGATGGATTTGTTCGAGATATCTTCTCTTCCTCATTCCAAACAGTTCGCTACTTAACATAAACATACTTCAGATGTCGGTCTAAGCCTTGAATTTTTTCAACAGCGCCACCCATTCATATTATCAGTTTCCACTCTGCAACATGTTAATGATTTAATTGTGTTCATCTGTGTTAACTAGTTAGTACACATTTTCAAGATACTAGATAATATATACCCACCACAACAAATACTTCGGAAAACAATATTCATTGTTTTTTAATCTAAATTCTAACTTATTGTAACGTTTCTCGTGGTGAATTAAAACCAACACAATATTTTAGACAAAAACTTTTATTCGTGAACAATTATACACTAAAATCTACTGACAGTAAAAACTACTTGGTCAATTTACAGATATATTACACTTAATTATTTTTCTTTACACTCGACTCCGTTCTCTTGATTATTTATTTACACAGTGCACTTCTTACACACTATTTATTTACGCTGTTCTCTTCTTCTACAGTATCATCCAGTCCGATGCACTGTCCACGGTCCACTGCACTTGACCCCAATTCCCTGCGCAGACCACAATTCCCTGCGCAGACCAGGGTCCACTACACTGCTGTTTACCGTGATGCCCACTTCACAGCTCAGCTTCCACTTCGGACACACTGACGGACTGACTGCTTATTCACTGATTACATACCCTGTTCCGCAGCTGCTTGCTTCAGACTTCTTACACTGACCGACTTACACTAACTTACACTGACTTCTCTACTACTCACTGACTGCTACTGACTCGCGGCCGCCGGCAGCGGCGCATTTATACCTGGCCGGCGCTCGTTCCTATACACCCGGCACATTCTCGGCATTTTCCCGCGACTCGCGAATAGTCCGGAACTGTCCAGTTCGGGGGGAAGGTAAGGGGATCCGGCAGATGACGCAATCCACGCGCAGCGAATCCGGCAGGTGATGCAATATTCGTTACATTATGTTTATATTCGTAAGGTTCGTAAAATATAAATAATAATTTTTTAATTTAAAATTTAAATAATAAAATTTTCCAGTATCATACAAGCAAGCTTTTATTAATGTGTCTCATTTTATCATCTGCTCTAATTTGTTCCAGAAGTGTGCAGCAAAGCGAGTTCCAAGACGAATTAACAGAAGCTCAATGAAATCTAGAATATTGTATCAAATTGAAAGGAAACAGAACTCATCAGCAAGTTTGTCACATTTCGTATGATGGAATGCGTGGTCTTCAATCAAAAAGTTGATGTTGATGTGTTGCTTTGTATGAAACTTCTAAAACAACGATACATTACGACTTTATGAAATGCACGATTATGATATGAAAACAGATATAACCATACATATAAAAATATAAAATGTTTTGTTGAAGCAGAACAAACCTTCAAATATACATAACAATTAAAAGTGTAGTGTTTTAAATGAAAACACGACTTCTAATGACAAGAACGTGACAAAAATATTTTATTGTATCAAGAAAAATAATTTTGATGACCATTAAATGTATTTGCACATGTTAAATGTATTAACTTGACAGTTTTGAGAGTGTACGAAAAATAAGTGACAGAAATGTAGGCATATTTATTATATAATTGTTGAATTATTCTGTACATAAAATTTTGAATATTATATTTTATATACTTAACGTAAAGATGATCAAAAGAGATTTGCCTGTATATTCTTACCCATCTTCATTTCTGCATTTAATGTAAGTAAACCATGGGTGTGTCGATGATGAATATTCGATACACCAGTTATAAAAGTTCATGACTTGCAAGGCAAGGCCGTTGAATCTGCGTCAGCCATTAATATTAGATTTCTAAATTCCACACAAATAACAAAACTCTAATATTATGAAAAAAAGAGATTTTGGGACATATTCCATGCTTCTCAGTACTGAGGAAACAAAATAAGATGTAGACTCTTGCGAAGATCATTTAGAGAAGTATATCATTCGATATTTTTCGAAGTTTTATTTTGCAAGCTGTCTTCTTGTATACTTGCCCCAAACTTCAATAATTTTTAAAATATTTTTGAAGTAAGATTAATGGCACAATGCCTTAAAAAGAAATTGTAAAATAATAACTTCAAATCCTGCAGCTAATAAATAAATCTGTAAATGGTAAGTTTTATCTCACTTTATTATTGAATGAATAAATGTTATTTCAATACTGCAACAGCTCAAAATTCTCAACACCCTATTTTTTAGCATATAAACACAACATTAAGCGATTTTCCAGACCCCTCTATTCAGATCTGATTTTTCTTCTGGAAAAATAACACATGTAAATGGAATCGCTAGAGCAATGACATTGCCTGTTGCCACTCGTGTCGGCGCAGGAGGCGGCCTGCCCCCCTCCAGGAGTGGAGCCGACGTCTGCCATCGGGCGGTGCGAAGCTTCGCAAGGATTGCAGTTAGGGGGATGTGTGCGCTGAGAAAGTTTTGTCTGAACGTACTGGCGAATTATTAAACGGAATAGTGTGTAATTCAGATTACGAGTTCCTTGAGGGAATAAATCGATAAAAGCCGAGAGGGTACCACATCGAAAAAACACTCAACTAAGTATTGATGATCTGCGACTGCTCGTGTTCAAAATACTTCCAAATAAGATAGAAATTCTTCAGTTCTATAATTTACCAGTTACCTATAATTTATCCGTCAGTTCCATAATAATCAAAACATTTCTTCATTAAAGGGCTGAGTGAGCATATGTATCCTGTTAACCATGTCAAAGTTTGCGATTAACTTCTGAAGTGATTCTTTTGCTCACAATGCGTTATTTTGTAAGGAAGCTACATTTCAGTACCTAAATTAAAAATGAAATCACGAACAATGTCGGGTAAAAATATTGTTCAATGGCTCTTCAAATTTTCTTTCATTGATAGCCACGTGAATTTTGCGATGTCTTATAAAAGAAAGCATTAATACTCCACTATTAGAGTTAGCAACTAATCATATTTTTGGGAAAGGCGGATTCTCTCGCTTCATTAAATAATATTAAGTATTAGTCCGTCGTGAGGTTTGGTTTCTAAACAATCTCAGGTGTGTTAGGACTCAAATAGTTTTCCTCGTAGAACGTGGCATGAATTTAGTAATTAGATTGGTTCATTTTCTCAGATCAGTTTCACTGCAAACTAATCTTGAACAACTGTAGTTGGCCTTCCAACGTACTTAGACTACTCTTCACAGATATATATCAATTTCGTATTATTTGGTATAATGTTTAACTTGAACTGTTAACGCTTATGTCATAAATATATTTTGCAATTGAATGCTTGCATGGATATTGTATGAAATTTTTTTTTTTTTTCATTTTCGTAGATTAAACATTAGATATGTATATTGGGTGGATTGGAAACTTTTGTAACAACTATTGTTTAAAAAATTGATTCCTCTGTTTTATGTGCTTATGTTTATGTAGTGAAAAGTTTAAAATTATTTTTTGTAAACATTAGACATTTTAATGTTACTGTTGGTATTGAATTTCTACCACTAGAAGTATGATAAAGAACGTCCATTAATTGTTTCAAGATTAATATCAGTTTTGAAATAATTTCTCCAGAGAAACTGTACAATACTATTAAACTATAATTTAAGACTTTCCCGGCGGAACGGCGCCTCACCTTTGTGAGACATTTCACTTGATAGCATTTCGTAATTAACGATTTTGTCAAAATGTTAGATCGTGTCCCATTCAATTGCCATGTTCAGAAATTAACTAAGTCATAGGAGAAACCACGAGAACTGGTAAAAATAAATGAACGGTTTTTCTTTCTCTTCTTCTTCTTTCTTCTTTCTTCTTCTTCTTCTTCTTTCTTCTTCTTCTTCTTCTTCTACTTCTTCTTCTTCTTGCTTCTTCTTCTTCTTCTGTCTTCCTCTTCTAACTACTACTTACTACTTCTTCTTCTTCTTTCTACTTACTACTTCTGTCTTCTACCTACACTACTACTACTACTACCTACTACTACTACTACTACTACTACTACTAACTACTACTACTACTACTACTATACTACTACTACTTTACTACTACTACTACTACTACTACTACTGCTACTGCTACTTTTGCTTACTTTTTGTGTTTTTTTTGCGCTAAAACTTTGGCTAAAAAAACTGGCTACTGCTACTACTACTACTACTACTACTACTACTACTACTACTTACTACTACTACTACTACTACTACTATAACTATAATAGTTATACTAATAATAATATTAATATATGAATATAATAATAATAATGGAATGTTTATTAAGTGCAGCTCAGCCATAGCGCCTTGCTCTTTCCGCAACCAACTGAAATTTACATACATGTAGAGGTAGTAACATTTAAGAGCGCAACAACTTGTACATTTACGTCTTGAGAGAATCCAAAACCTAGGGACCATCCCGCATACGCCTAACATTATTAAACCATGACCAAACCTCAATCAGGATGCGCTTAGCCAAACATTCATAGAAATTGAGTATTGTTATTACTGGAGCTAGGTGAAAGGAAATCTACTCACTACTCTCTTCTTCTCTACTACTTACTTCTTCTCTTCTACTTCTTCTTCTACTTTTTCTCTTCTCTCTACCTCTTACTCTTCTACTTCTTCCTGACTATCTTCTTCTTACTTCTACTACTTCTTCTACTACTTCTTCTTCTCTTATCTCTCTTTATCCACTTCTTTCTACTCTCTTCTTTCTTCTTTCTTCTCTTTCTTCTTCTTCTTCTCTACTTCTCTACTTCTTCTTCTTCTACTACTTCTTCTTCTACTTCTTCGTTTTCTTCTTGCAGTTTCTTCACACTTCTTTTTTCGACGCCTGAACTTCCGCAATCAATTTTTCAGAACCCAGATAGTAATTTTCAGTTCTCGATTAGATTCGTACTTTTCTCGTTCCACCTTCACCTTGGGATTCTGGACTTTCTTCATTCGCTTTTTTTCATTACGTAATGTGAAGGTATGCAAAAGTTAATACTGAAAAACATTAATACTGAAAAGTTATTGTCGACAAAACGTCGATCCGTCCGTCAGTGGATAACGTTAATCCTGAAACCGTGCACAAGATTCTCATCAAAATTAATATTCTCTATCGACCTGGCTGACATCGTGGCCCTTCGAATTTAAATTGCTTATTTTAATGGGGGAAGTACTTTACATACGCTATGTTCTAGCCAATGCTTTCACATCTTTGAATCAATATGTTTCTTTTTTAATTATACTCTTCATCGTGCGGTCCCACCACTTTTTGAGTTACTAGCTTTTCCTACTTTTGCATTAAATCGCGTAATAAGTTCTAGTTGAAATATCAATTAATAATGAATTTCTCTTAGAAAATCTAAAGCACAAATTAATTAACAATGTTCAACAATAGCAGGTCTCACTTTATTATTTTTCACTGGAAAGAGTTGTTTTAACTATTTTATTTGTTGCTTCTGAGGAACGCCGCCAGCGAACGTGGCATCTTAGCACTTTCTACGTTTTTTAGATTTCATAATGCATAGGGTTATCAAATTAAAAGAATACTTAAGATGTTTTCCAATGAGAGCTGAAAGGTTACATCTCTACCGAAACAAATGGTATGGGATTGAGTTGTAGAGTACTTCTTCAGAGAATATAATTAGAGAAAGAAAGCAAATATCGTAGGTGAGGGAGGAAATGCCAACAGTCTTCTGATATTGAAATATTATTTAGGCTTATATGTAGACAGATTGATTCAACATAAAATTTTGGAGATTCTTTCACTCCGAATTCATTTTCACAATTTATGAATATTATCATTTCCGAGTTCATAGCGTTGAATAAAATTCCAAGTATTAGTAAGTCGGATAATGTGACAAATTAGATAGTATTTTGGGAAAATATTGATTTTTCTTCGTGAGACAAAATTTTCTTCATTTATGAATAATTGTTTCTGAAATTCTCTTAAGAAATTAAGAACGCATGTTGTGCTAGCAAAATACTATTGTTCCGTAACGAAAAACCAACAAAAAACAAACTGTTTAGCTTAGAAATTTTAAACATTACATGTTAATATTTTTTGTGAAAATGAATTATCAAATAGTCATCACATTTGTTGAAAGTACCGTATGCAGTATTTATTTGTAGCGTTAAAAAAATATTTTTATTATAAATTAAATATTATATATTATGTATATTAAGAAGTAGAAATATTATATGTAATGTATATTAAGATGTAGAAGCAAAAAAAGCGACATCATTAAAATTACATTTAATTAAAAATGTGAGTGTGCCAGTCATCTGCAAAAAAATGGGTCATATTTTTCCTGTATTAATTTCAAAACAAAACAAAAAAAATGTATACACGCCTGCATCCAACTCTCGCAACGACGACCTTGAGAACTATTTTACCAGCAATATACTACTAATGCGCTCTACAAGCGATTCGTATAACTAAAATATTGCGCACGTAGTACCAAATTGTATAACTGTAATTCCCTTGAAAAAGTTCTTATACATCCCAATAGATGCCAGCAGCGCCAGCATACGCGTGACGGTCCCCGCGGCGTCAGGAGAGGCAGAGAGGAGAGAGGGAGAGAGCAGGCGATCCGACGCGACGCGACGCGCCGTCTGCGCAGCGCGGACCGAGGCGACGCTCGCCCGGAACTAGACAATCACAATCCTCACCCTCCCGCAATTCCGTTCCCCTGGCAACGGCGCCGGAGAGCCCGAGGGGTGATTCAACCCCCGAATCCCGCGCGGGCGCAGGGCGGCCCCGGAGGGCGAGGGTCGGTTGGACGGGCGCTCAAAACGCGCCCGGTGGCGTTTCGGGAGGGCGATCTGTTCACGTGGCCCGGATGGCCCTGGAGAGGAGAGACGGTGTGTTAGGCTTACTCGGGCCGGGCGCCACTCTGTGCTTACCGGCAGGCCCTCCGTCGTTCGCGATTACGCCGATTTGCGTTGATTGAAAGTCGACAGTGTAAGGAAGTAGTGCATGAAATACCAAGAGAACACA